GCCAGTCACTCGAGGTGCCAGAGCTGCAGTTGCTCCACTCACATTTTTTTCTCTTTTGAGATCTGCGTTATTGTACAGTTTTCAGCTCTATCACTTAATGTCCCCCTTCCCTTCTTTCTAGCACAAAGAAAAGCATCTTAATCAGTATATACATGGCACAAAAGACTTGTGCAGGGAACCACGCACTTTTAGTCTTTTAAATCCTCCATACTTAACATACCTAAACGTCACTGCTTAAAAGATAATAGGCATTTAAATTCAGAGTAAATTAGTGATCAGGACAAGTTGATCTAGCCAAATTAAGGTTACAAGCACTTTCACATACTAGATTTTTTACTTTTGTTGACACTATCCCATTTTTTTCTAAAACCCACAGAATTCATCTTATCTACATACGTAAGTGTTGATCTTTATTTTGGAATTTTCTCTTTCTGAAGTAGCTTAATTTACTGCCAGCAGTATTTCTCTAACAGAAAACAAAAAACCAAAACCAAACCAAATTACAATCAAAACCCACATATAGGTTTGCCTGAAGCAGAAATCCAAACAAAATTAACAAAAGTAAGTCCTAAGCTCAGGCCTCAAGTCTTATGCTGTTAAAATCACCAGCCCAGCACTAAGGAAACAGTACCTGCTGTATTTTGTGACTGTGAATGTGGGGAGGCAGTATAAAAACCACATATTAAGAAGACTAACATATTTAGTGTTTCCTTCTCTAGGAGCCTCTTAGAAACAAAAGTTGTGCTTGTAGATCTTCTCTTTGAAAGGTATGTGGAAGGAAGAGTTCACCAACTATTACTTTCACATTTCGGTAACTTTGTTGAACACACCATAAACTTAAAAACAAAGAATGACTAAAAAAACAGAGGGGGGAGCACAGAAACAAAAAATAGAGCTACATACAGTACAGCATGGGTAAGGGAAAGAGTGTAGACAGGCAATGCATTTGTGATGCTCTTTTAAGAATCTTATCAACTGTGCTACTTCAAAAGTAAACATAAATCTCCCCAGCAACGGGAAATGCAACCACTAAATTTCTTGAATCACATGTTAAAAACAGAACAAAGCCCCTATCCAACAAAGAAACACAGAGCTGAATGGAAACACTCGTGTTCTTGAAGATTAGGACACAGTTTAAGCACTTGCAGAATCAGGCTGCAGTTTTACTACTTGTAGATAAGATGAGGTTTCAGGTAATGAAAGCTCAGAACAACCAGTTTAATACAAGTTTCATTTCAGAGTAAAAATTAAATTTGAAGTTTGGAGACCTGGATGCATGGTCACACAGACTTGAGAAAAAAAGCACTTAGTTGTGGGAATTTTTTAAAAAAGCTGTCAGCACAAAATCACAGAAAATACACCCACCATTCAGAGATAGTACCACATTCCTGAAGTCATTTCTCCTATATAGCACAGCACTTTTCCCTTCCAGATGGGATTAATTTTATTTCTATAGGAGACCTGAAATTGAATTCACTGCCTAAAGATAAAAATCTCCCTTGGTAGGAATATGCAATTCCCTTCCTCCTCATGTTTCTCTCTCACAAAAAAAAAGTGAACACAATCGCTGATAGTTAAGAATAATGCTTTTGGCACAGCTTCAGTCATTAGCAAATAATAAGCTCTGAGCTACAGCAGTTTTGTGAGGCTGCAAAAAATATTTTGCCTTTCTGTGAGGCTCTGAGAACATACGTGGCACTGGACAAAGATGAGTTACAGAGCTGCACAAAGGGGTTAATTTATTCCTCCTGCATTTTGTCAGTCTCCTTTAACAAGAACTATAGGCGACCTTTGAGCCAAACCAATATGTTAAATCCAATAAAATTTTTCTAAACAACAAAGATCTTCGTATATTTACTATTACTTTTCAGCCTTTTCTGAATGTTCACAAAACCAGAGGAGAATCATAATTTAATGTTAAAAACACCAAAGATGCAGACTAAGATGAAGAGACAATGCCCAGTAATACAGCAAAGCAGAATTGTAGTGGCACTGCCAGTAATTGCATAAATGATGAAATGAGGACAGAAGAAAACACAAAACTGACCTTAAAAAAGAACTGGAATAATTTCACATCTAGAAGCTTAAGATATACAATCTATGGAAAAAGAAAACAGCATCAGAGCAATTCTCACTTCCATACTACCATCTGCTGTGATTCACCAATAAAGCAGCAATCAGAAAAAGAGCAAGATGTTTACAGCCCTGTACAATCCTTCTTATCATGAAAACAACCAATTTAAGAGTTGAGAATATGCATGTTGAAAATATTTCTCTCTGACACTAAAAGAACAGTTTAAAAGCTTTTGGCCTAGTGTAAGTTACTACAGGAAGAAGGAAAAAAAAGTCATATAATTTCTTTTCTCTGGCATTAACATTAGTCATGGTTCTTAAGTTTCTATTTCTTGAAAACAGAAGAATGGAAAGTATCCCAAGAACCCCAAATATAAAAAAAATGGATATATGTATAATGAAACATTAACAAAGATATTTTTTTCTGTATTGCATAAAATGTTAGTATTTTTGTTAATGTTTTTATAAAATTTAAGGAAAGCAGAAATACAAGAACTATACAACCCAAATTACAGTAATATAAAAACACTTGAAGAGGCTGAATCATAAAAATTCAGCCACAACCAAGTCAGACAATAAAAGCACAGGTGACAAAAACAAAGCCAGGAGTGAAATAACAGCACTTAAATTGATGTAAACATTCAAACCCCTGAAGACAGGAAATGCAAAAAGAGAAAGCTAGGTGTTAATGAAACACAATACTCGACAGGCTGAAGCCTACTGTTTTCCCTTCAAACAATTTTCTTCACAGTGCAAACCTTCAACAGCTGCTAAGTGTGATACAGACACGCATTTGTAAGAACTTGTACATGTTTTTCTAGACACTGACCCTTCAAACCCTTCAGCCCTACAAGGGCCACTGTGCAGCAGCCTGCTGCACCTTGCTCCAACAGCTCCAGTGATGAGATCTTTCCTTTCAAATCTCTGAAGATATGCTATGGAGATGAGGATATTCTCTTGCAAATGAAATACTGAACAGGTGAATGTCAGGGTGGCACTGAGGGGATGGCAAGCAGCTAAATCTCATATAAGATTTAAGTCCAAAGCACTCCCTGGTGACATGCTGGCTCTGCACAGCTTTCTGGCAGTAGCTTGTTTCCTTGGCAAGCTGACACAAGCTACTGCCGTATAACAACACTACCCAGCCAACTTAGAAAGACCACTTGGTACTGGATAGCAAGCTGAACTGGCCCGTGGCTGGTTACAAGAGACAGCTGGCACATGGGCGGTTTTGTGATTGCCCTTTTAAGCCAGACCAGAGTTAGATTTTCCGAGTACTTCCTGAAACACCAGTCCTGGAAAAAAAAAAGGAAATAACAGCCACAGAATGGCTGCAATTGGAAGGGAACTTCAGAGGTCATCTTGTCCAACCCCCTACTTAAGGAGAACCATCTTAAAGCTGGTTGTTCAGGACCATATCCAGGTGGCCTTTGACTACCTCCAAGGATGGAGACCCTATAACCTTTCTGGGCAACCTGTACCAGTGCTTGGTCACTCTCACGGTGACAAAAGTGTTCCCTGATATTCCCTGAGAAACCTCCAGTGTTTCAGTTTGTACCTTTTGCCCCTGACGGAATAAAGCCTGACTGTCCTCTTTACACCCTTCCTCCAGGTATTTATATTCATTAAGAAGAGCCCCCTGAGCCTTCTCCTCTCTAGGCTAAACACCTGCAGCTCTCCCAGTCTTTCCTCATGTTTAAGATGGTCCAGTGCCTTAATCATTGTTGTGACCCTTCTCTGGCCTCTCGCCAGTACCTCCACATGTGCCCTCGCACCCAGCACTCCGGTGCCCACGGGTGCATAGCAGAGGGGAAGCAGCAGCTCCCTCCACCTGCTGGCAACACCACGTCAAATGCAGATTGGCATATGCGAGTCGCCTTTGCAGTAAGAGCAATTGGGAGGAACCTCTCCATGCCAAGGATCGATTGGGAAAACACAGGGAAAAAGACAAGATGCATGCAAGTGCCATGTCCAGATGCTATAACTGTCTTATATCCATCAGTTGTTCTAAACTTGGGGATTGAGCACGAGCTCAATTTCAGTGATGAAATAAAATGAAATTAATAGAATAGAATAGAGTAGCTCAGTTGGAATTTTACAATGATCATCTGGTCCAACTGCCTGGCCACTTCAGGGAGGATGAGAAGCTAAAGCACGTTATTAAGGGCATTGTTCAAATGCCTCTTAAATGCTGACAGGCTTGGGGCATGGACCACCTGTCTAGAAAGCCTGTTCCAGAGTTTGACTACCCTCTCAGAAAAGAAACGCTTCCTAATGTTCAATCTAAACCTCTTCTGGCGCAGCTTTGAATCACTGCCACATGCCCTGGGATATCCACTGGACACCGGGGAGAAGAGACCAGCATCTCGTCATCTCCGCTTCCCCTCCTCAGGAAACTGTAGAGTGATGAGGACAAACCTCAGCCTCCTTTTCTCCACACCAGGCAAACCCGAAGTCCTTAGCTGTTTCTCACAGGCCATTGCCTTCACCAGCTTTGATTCCCTCCTCTGGATGTAGTTGCAGAGCCCAGAACTACCCTGTATTCCCGGTGAGGCCACACCAGCGCTGACTACAGCAGGATAACCAGCTCTGTTTGTACTGTGCTTGATGCACCCCAGAACACCTCCTGCCCTCTTGGCTGCCAGGGCACGCCGCCAAATTATACCTGAGCGAAACCAGCATCTGAAGGGAGAAGGAAAACGCCGGGGAGGGGAAATATGGGGCGATTTCAAAGGATTAAATGACAGGACAGAGCTGGAAGCTGACGGCCGGCTACCCCGGCCTCCCCGGGGCTCGGCCCCGCCGCCCTCCCCGCCGCGGCAGCATCGACAGCCGCCCCTCCGTCACCCACCCTCCCGCGGCCGCCGCCGCCGCTCTCACCGGCCTCCGCCTCCGCTTCCGGGTCGCCTCGGGCGGAGGGGAAGTCCCGCCCCGACCGCCGCGTTCCCGGGGCCGCCGTCCCTCCCTCGGCGGAAGGCGGGAAGCGGCGCCAGCGATGGGTGACATCCACGAGGTGCCGCGGCCGCGCATCGCCACGGGGCAGCTGGCGCAGCACATCGGGCAGCCCGTCTGCTTCGTGGGGCGCGTCGAGAAGGTCCGCGGGGCGCTGGGCGGGCTCCGGGAGCGGGGATGGGCTGCCCCGGAGCTCTCTGGGGAGCGGCTGGCGCCGTCCCTGGCGCAGCCCGGCAGCTCCCGGCGGCCTGGGAGCAGGGCGGGAGGCGGACGCGTCTTTGCGGGAAAGAACTGGCTGAGGCGGCCAAAGCTGCGGCGCTGCCGGCTGCCTCTGGAGCGCACAGGCGTTTTTTCTAGACTTAAATGTTCTCTTGTAGATTCATCCTAGCGGGAAGCTTGTCGTGCTTACGGATGGGCTCGGAAAGCATACGACTGTGGAGCTGAGCGAGCCTGTAAGTTAATGAGTATTTTGGAAATACTTGATGCCGCCTCTTGTGGATTCCGGAGGTTTTGTCTCTTCTGAAACCCCTACCTGAGGTTTTCAGTTTTTCCACCTGTATTTCATTGCTTCTCTTTCTTGCGTCTTTCAGCTAACCTGTAGCTAACCTTTCAGCTAACCTACCCATGAGCTGCCTTGGTCTTGATCAATTTTCAGTTGGGGTTAAGAGACAATTCATTCTTTGTCAGACATATCCCTGTCTGGCTATTTTGTCTATTAGTTGTTCACAGTTTAATATATTTCACTACATTTATCAGCTTTATTTTAATTTCAGTCTTTCTTCCCATTTTCTTATCGCTTCTATAATCAAAAAGAACATGGTGTTTTCAAGAGTTTTTTGAGTTAATATTGCTGCATCCTCTTAGAACACTTGTCATAGCTTTTCAGTAAACTCCACCGTTAGCTTGAAGCATTCTTTCTTATTAAAAAAAAAAAAAAACCAAGCAATGAATGCAATGGGAATAAGATGTAATTAGAACTATTCAAGAAAAGTCCTGCCTCTTTTGTTATCACCTACCACTGAAGTAATAATAATTTGGCATTCTCTTCTGATTCTGAGTATGTTTTTTCCATCTAGAAATGTTGTAATTAAAGAATTATTTTAATTGTTATGGCAAATGCTTTAGTTTGACTCAGTGCATGTGTATATTTACATCTTTTTCTCTGAATGAGTTGTTGAATGCTGAGAAACCTTGCCATTTCCATGGGAAATAATTGCATATCGTACTCTCTCAGTCTTTCAAGACAAGAGTCTGTCCCTGTTGATGAAAAATGCAGTTTAATCTGGCAGAGTTTTGTCTTATAAATGTGAAAATTGCTGACGTCAAACTGCAACAAAACATCTCTAACCTTTTTCTTGAGTTCATGAAAACATTTCCTGCCTTGGGTTGTTAAAAATTCAGATGTTAGCATCTGACCAATGATTCTATAATATTTTCTCTAACAGTATAAGTGGCTGAACTCTGTAAATGCAAAGCTGTAGTGCTGGGCACTTCTGTCTCTGTTCCACTGCCTTGGAAGAAACTGGTGTGTGCAAAAAAACAAGGCCAAGTTCATCTCTCCAGTTCACGCAATGCCAGTGGGGAAACTTAATAGATTTGCTAATCAAAATGCTTTCTAACTTTTTTCCCTTTCAATATATTTCACTCTTTGTGCATGTCTAGTTCCCTCTTTCAACAGAGGACCCCAAAATTATGGGGAGAGAATTTTTCCAACAGACTTACTAGAAAAGTAAAAAATAAGCCTTAGATATTGGAAAAGCATTACCAAAACAGTACTGCACTGTTAAAATTTGTATCTTAAAAAACAAAGAAAACATTCAAGCTGTATTGTTTTGGTGTAAGATATAATTTTTAGCCTTTTTTTCCTTTGTTCCACCAAAGGCTTATTGGTGACAGTATCTTTGTACTCTGAACACTTCATGACAGATTACTTAAGAAATTATTTCCAGGTATACCTTCTGAATGTGGAACATTGGAACTGCTCTCTGGAATGTGTGATACCTCCTGAACTCTTAGAGTTCTATAATTGACACAGGTTTGAAAGCAATGCATTAAAATCAGAATTGTTCTGTGTCCTAGATTAATCTCTGTTCAGTGATTAAATGACACAGTTTTATATACTTATGAACCAGTATCTTTCCTCGGATGCATCTTTGCATTTTATTTTTCCTATTGGTATTGAATTGGCTATTACAAAACCTGTAAATCTCCAAGTGGATCAAGGTTTTTGTGGGATTTTTGGGGGGAGGGTGACCGGGCTGTCCAGTAGTACTATATTGTTTGACATGGAACAGAATCTGTCATGAACGAATTATCAGCTGTGGAGAGTTCCTAGCTGTGCTATTAGCTATTAGCAGCTATTTAGTGTTACTAATTTCATCTTTGGTGTGTTTTGTAGCTGGATGAGGAGATTTCAGGAGTTATTGAAGTGGTGGGAAGAGTAACAAATCAGGCAACCATCATGTGTGCATCATATGTCCAGTTCAGAGAAGATAAAAGTTCATTTGGTAAGTAAGAATATACATTATGGCAAATTCATTTTGAGTTCTGAACTCATCTTCAGTAAACAAGAAGGGAAAGCCTAGTTACCTTTTTTTACAGACAAAGTCTTTCTTCAAGCTGCCAGATATGGTACAGGGTGTAGAGAAGAAGAGTGTAATGAGGAAAGTTCTGTACCAAATGTAGTGGTTTACAGTTAAACTGTAGGAAGTGACTCAATGCTGGAGCCATCTAGATCATTGCTGTGGCCTGTTTGTTCTCCCACTCCTGACGACGTGGTTCTCACCTTGCCCTGGACCTTGTGTGGTTTTGCAGCTAGCAGGCCTAAAATTAACCCTCCAGAAAACAAGCAATGAGTGTTCCTGCCGTGGGAAAACGGGAGCTTGAGGGAGACTGGGATCACTCAGGAGTACTGCTTTAAAATAAGCAGTGCTTGAATGTTGTCTGTGACTTGTGTGGAATTGAACTTATGCATTATAACCATTTTCTTTGCCCTTTTTCAGATCTGGAACTCTACAATGAAGCACTAAAAATTATTCATGAATTCCCTGAATACTTCCCGTTTGGTACTGGGAGGAACACTTGATTTTTATTAGCATATGTTTAGAGCTTCAGAGGGGACAACAGTAGTGTGATTTCTTGCCTGACAGCATGGTAACAGTTGCATTTATTTTCAACAAAAATACTGAAAAGACACTGTTACATGTGCAAAGTGTTGCCTATGAAGAGTATTTTGTTTGAAAATGTATTTATTCAGCAAGAACAAATGAATGTCTTACTCACTGTATATATTTAACCCTTTTGCATCTATGAGGAGTGTTCTCTTGCAAGATCAGACTTGTCAGAAACTGAAATTTTCTAAGCATCCTTTTTTAGTTGGTAGAGGTTCTAGGGTACATTACAGGAAACTTGTATGAAAAAAAAAATTGGTGGATTTCAATATAAAGATTTTTGACTTAATTTGCTTTGATATAAATTTATTGTATTGAAGGGGTATTTTGCATCTTGAAAATGGTATCTTCACCAATAAAGAAGATTCACTGCATTTGGCCATTTGTGTCAGCATTAAATATTAAGAGTGCTATTTTCAGTGATACGTAGCGACTCCTGTTCTATTTGACCTGACACGGTTAAATTTAACAAAGTGGAGTGCAAGGTTCTTGCCTCTGCATGATGCTAAACACTTGGAAGATGTCGAATTAGGCTTGGGGATTTCAAGCACAGCTGAAGTCCCATCAAAGCCTTCATTCTTGGTTGGCATCTAAGCAGCAGTACCAGGATTCAGCCAGCTTGTCATGGTGACTAACCTTAGGAACTTCCAACAGTCCCCAATTTTGTTACTATCCAGGCTACTTAGAACACTTAGCAAAATTTTTGCATCACTTGAGGTAACACATTTAAAGTAAAGTTGAACTTTGGAAATATTCTCTGGGAATTAATAAAGTATTTCAAAGTATTTTAAGTAAACTGTAGCCATGTTCTTTGAACTTTTGTACAAACGGGTTTCAGGTTTAGTAGTTAGATTTAGTGCCTTAATAAGATTGATAGCTTTGTGCTTTTTTATAGACATCTCTTTTTCTAGTCAAGGAATATGTTTCAAAAACTTGCACTTTGAACTCACTACAAACTGGAGGGGATGATCAAGTTAACAGAGGATCTATTTTTTCCTCCCTCCCCACCTAGAACACAGATACCTCTTACAGATACATAGTTACTCTGACTGGGAAGGAGGTCTTGGAAGTAGGAAGCAGTTTCCTACAAACAAGGTCCGTGTGGCACAATACCATGCCCTGTCTATCATCACTTTATTTAAGTGCTCAGTAGAATCAAATGTCATTCTTAATAACTGCATGCATGTTTTCCTAGCATTTAAAACTATTTTGTTCCATTCTGCTTTAGAAAATTGGTGTTTTGTGTGTGTACATATACTCTGTGAAATGTTATGTACAGTTACTCAGACCACCCCTGCCCAGTGGAGCATTCTGCCACTAGATGGCTTTAGCACTTCAGAGACCAGCCTGGGGTCTCTGAGGAAAAGTTTGAACACACCAAGTGGGAAATGCTGGTTTCCCTTTGTCAGTCAAGACTCTTCTCGTTCATGCAGTCCTGCAGCAGTGAAAAGTGGCTGGGCAAGCTGTACACAACTAAGTTTCCCTTACACGCTTTTCATTTGTCTGCTTCTCTGCAGACCATCAGTCTGTATGAATAAATGGCCTACCCTGGCTTCATGGTTGTACAAATCACACAGCAATGCAAGGAACTGTGAAACATTCTTGGTACTGGAGTAGTGCTCAGATCACATATGCATTTATCAGTATAATTTCCTACGCTGCCATGCTGAAAACTGCCAGCTGTTTTAAATACCTAGGGAAAGACACAACCATGTCAGCTAGGCCTGATGGTTAGCAGGACCCCAGGCACCACACACAATGAAAGGTGAGAAACTGCCAGTTCTCACAGGTAAGAAAATGGGAAGTAGGGGCTTCATGGGATACTGACCAAAGGGGAGGCACCAGGGCAACTGAATCAGAAACACCGGAGAGGGATGTCACCAAAGCCAGTAATGGACCAGTAGTGGAAGGCATGAAGAGGAGCTGGTGGCTTCTTTAGGAGGACAGGAGGCTGGTGCATGGTGGGAACCTGGAAGAGGAGAAGGGGCATAGGAAATGAATGCTGTAATTGGAGCAGACTTACAGAAGTTCATGCTATTTGGAACAGGACTGCTGCCACTACATTCATGACTGACTTCTGAGACTTGGTACCTTTTTGCTGGGCTCTTGGCTGACCCTGCTTGCCTGCTCTGCTGTCCTGGCTTGGGCATGGGCATGTACACAACTTGTGTGGTGCTCACGAGCAAAGAGCCTGTGTGATGATGAAGTACTTGTGCTTAATCAAGGAAGGGCTGCAAGGCTGGAGCATCTAACAAAGTTACAACAGTGGAATGTAATCAGCATGAGCCACAGGATCACAATATTTTAGCATGCAAGGACACCTTCAGAAGAGTTGAGCTGAGATTTACCAGACAAAAGTAAACAAAAAAAATAACTGCAGCTAATAAAATGGGTGTAGCTATATTTTTGTTAGAAAGCAAGAAATCACCCCAAAAGTGACAGATTTATTAATTTAAAAACAAAACAAGGGAAAAAAATATCTGTAATTAAAAAACAAAGCTTTTGCTTTGTAAATTTTGCAAATTGTGTAACTACTGACCTCAAAGCCTGATTGCTAATTGCAACAACCAAAACCCATAGTGCCAGAATATACACATTAATAATCCAAAGCACTACAAAGATAGGAATATTAAAGTGAGCAATTTAACTTAGTGATAGAATTTGACACACACAGTGTGTGTCAAACAGTTATAGCTGAGGTGAAAACATTATAGATTGATTTTCTTTACATGAGAAAATGAGACACTGTATGCTGGTAGTTGCATTCACCTCAACATGGAAATTATCAGGGAAGTTCACTAAATGTTACTACACAAGAATAAAAAGCAAACACTTGACACTTACCAATCTTCATTTACATAAACCAAAACCTTTATTGCCTGTATTTATATAAATAGAGTATCATACAGTAAGCCCCAGTTTACATTTATAAATGGAGAACATTTTGAAGAGCTCTTCAACAGCAATGTGAAGTGTGCAAAAATACTGGAATGAGAAATAAATATTCTAAAAGGAAAAAAAAAAAGGAACTGCTCTCCCATGCCTAGAAATATCAAGTACCTCTTAGATTTTTAACTAAAAAATTATCTTTGCCAATTTTAGATCAAAATAAATGCAGATTTATTACAACATTAATGCTAACTCAGAAAATATAACCCAAAGTCCTGAATGTAATCTTGTACATCCACAGTACATCTACATCTTGTACATTTCCACATTTTATCTTCTTGAAACTACACCAGAGCACAGAGAACTAGTGGTATATTACAATATATTCTCTTTGAAACACCAATTTTCACAGTCCTGGCAAACTGTACCAGTTTATTGCTAGCATTCCATTTAGTATTTCATAGCACACAAGTGTTGAGTAACTCATATACTGTAAATAAACACACACCAAGTAAACTGATGTTATTATCACATACCTTAAAACAGGTTTGTTTTTTTTCCCTAATTTGTGTGAATGTTGCCTACAAAGTCAAGGACAACAATACCAATTAGCTCCTAGCACAGGATTAGCAAAATATCATTGATGTTCTCTCAAGTTAATAAATAATCTTAATTCCAGCTGGTAACACATCTAGAAGTACTCTGATCAGTTACTCAAATTGGGAGCAGATGGATGTCCACTAGTGACCAGAAGCAGGATTTATACAGGTTGGTTCCACACTTCTCAGTATATTTCAGAAGTACAGGGAAATGCTGATTATCTCAAAGTCTTCAAATATTTTTGTAGTCAAAACTCTGCATGTAGTTTCAAACTTACATATTTACAAGTCTCCAGTCCTTGAGATTTCAGATCTTCACAGTACTCAAAAATTTATCAGATACAACCTCCTACAGTTTACCTGCACTCTGCACTGAAACAGTCACAGGGAACTTCTCATGGAACTCTTCTCTAGGATACAGTCATTGCTAGGAGAGAAAGCCCCAAACTCTTCAGCATTAAAATCTGCATCAGCTAGATAGGTAGCCTACTTAAGTAAGAACTTGAATTGTAAAGACATTGCTTTACTATCAACAAAACCTGGGAACAGAAAGAAAAGGATTTTTCTTTAAAATAAAAATGTTTAGAAGGCAGTTAGCAGTGGCACTTTGAATAAACGACAAGGAAACAAACAAACATTTGCATACAAGACAGTGATCAAACAATGAACAGAGGAATCCACAGCATAACTTTGCCATCTTCTTTTGAAGTGTTTATTTTGAAGGTCTGCTTTCACAGCATATAAATTCAGCTTTGGGACCAATCAGCATTATCCTGAAAACTTTTTTAATAAAGGTCTTCTTTGCATTTTAGTAAATTCAAAGAGTCCATAATTCCAGGAGTGCTTTTCTTCAGTCCTCTGACTAAGGGCCATGCACTGTACCTATAGGCTCACTTCAGGAATACCTGTTTCTACCAAGCACAATCATACACACATCATTTTATTACTTTGATAGCAATTTATTTTTTCACAGTAAGTCACAAATTACCTTTGTCTAAAATATCTGCTTGGACTATGATGGACATCCATTAGAGAGCCACACATTTCCTAACAGTATTTATGCCTGGACAGTCTCTGCTGGAACGAGATTCCCTGTTGTATCCAGCTGCATACACTTACAAGAGCAGGCAGAAACTGGGCACTCAGTATGGTCCCTAAATAGCAACAGCCAAAAAAAAAGAAAAAGCAGTTAAAATAATTTTGCAATTACACATTTAACTATGTGCAGAGGAATAGCATCACAGAAAAATTCAGTATCATAGTTCAGTTTTATTTTTTAAACTTTATAATGACAGATTTTATAGATACAGGGAAGGAGACATGCTCTACTCAGTGCAGAACACACATGTGAAATAACAAAATTTTAACATCAACTTACCTGAACCAGCTCAGCATATGTCCAGCATGTCCACCATGCCTACAGTTGTGACACCAAGTGAACCAGTTGTTGAACTGGGCTAACTTCTTGTCTTTGCTAAGATCCACTTTTTCATCTGACTTGGATCCTCCTGTCCAGAGGCAAACCCACCCCCACAAATATGGCTGTAAATCATTACACTTCATTTACATTTCAGTCTCTGCAACACCATTAAAATGATTTTGAAAGAAGGAACATTATGTGAAAAAACATTGTGATTTTAAAACAGAAGTCAGTAAAAATATTAAGAGCTGGAAGAATACCAAAAAAGAATGCTAAACTGTTGCTTCACATCTTATAGATATGCTAAACTTGCCTATTGAACAGGTTTTATAGACAGAATCTCTTTCAATGGTGATTTATGCCTTATTGATAGATTTATAGTCCAGTGAATTATGGGCAGAATTATGTTCTGCTGCATATGAAATCTTCTGTTTTAGAAAAAAAAAATCAACAAAATCTAAGTTATGAATTGGAACAAGTACAATATAGAAGTCATAACAAAGATCAGTGAAAGAACGAGAAGAGGTAGATAAACGTGACAAGTGTACAGCTGCTCATGGCCCTGTAATAAGACTGACTTAAAAAATGGTTGAAATCCTTTTCATGTAGACATTGTATAATGCCAGGCCAAAGGCATTTACAACTGAACAATTCCAGTCATAATACCTCTTAGCTGTGACAGCATGACTCATGCTTTCTTTCATACTTAGTAACAGAAAGTACCCCACACCTCTCTTCTTCTTTCAGCTAAAAATTAATTAATTTATATTCAATGATTTGTGTAGCATGCCTACAATTGATCTCACGAAAACACACTCCCAATTTCTTTCAGTCATAAAGCTCACAATACTGATCCCCACAATACTTGGATCTTTACATCTGTCTAATCATGGAATTCGACTGACAAGCTCATGGAAAACTGTGAGAACCAAGTAACTATGCCTACTATCGGACCATTAAGAATTGAAACAAAGGTTTCATCCCAAAATTAGATGGGATGTAAACAAGTTCTCAATTATGGTCCTTCTCCCTTCAAAATGATGACTATGAATATTTGCAGTGAAAGCACAAATAGAAAACAAAGTGCAACAGATCTTTCAATAGGAACTGCTAATTTGGCCTCCAACTAGTACTGTAGCTGAATAACTAAAACCCACTGTGTCATACCTGGACAGCTGGAAACTGGTGTTCCCATATTTATCAGGCAAAGTGCACAGCGGGGAAGGGGCTTTCGGCAACCAGGACAGCTCGTAACTTTGGACTTGGTTGGCGAACCGCTGACTCCATACTGGCTAAAACCTCGCCCCTGATGAGGAATAGCTGAACAGCTGTAAGAGATTGATTTTCCACAGAAATTGCAACTCACAAAGACCTAGAGAGAACAGATGCCCATTAATTTTTTGGTTTGGTTCCACTTTTGCTACACCTGTGAGTGAATCCATTCAAGATAATTAACATTTATTTACCAGATATTCTAGCAAGTGCTCTGGAAAGCCAAGTCTACTTGTGAAGGAGTTCTTAACATCTTGGCTTATAGATGAGGCACACAGCCCTGAGAAGCAGGCCTTAATGATGCTCACTAACTTCAAAAGCACATAAAAACATGCACAATTGCTAAAACTTTGAAAGATATTATTTAAGATAATAAAAGCTGTATCTTCAGTAATCGAAGAAATTAGGGTTATTCTACTTACTATATAGTTTGGTCTCTCCCTCCTTATAGTCAGATGACTCACACTACAATCCCCAACATAAGGATTATCCTAGTATTATTTATCTACATCCCTCATGTTGTGACTTGTGACTTGATACCAAGGAGCAAATATTTCAAATTCTTTAGGGCTATTTATCTTAACAACACAAGGAAGGAGCAGTAAACTCAACTCCCTCCCACTTGGAACAACTCTGCTTAAACAGCTATGACTGATAAATTAATTCAAAACCCGCTTTCCTCAGAAACTCTCAGGCCCTAAAGCTCATAATGAACATACTTAGCAGACATGAGAGAGTAGAAGGTGCCATGGTATGACCATGTTGGCCGAAACTGCCACCAGATGTTAAGAATATAGCATTTGGGTAAGGCATTAAGTTTTTAGGTCAGTGTATGTTCAGGACTGATAACGAAAAGTTGCTGCTGTTTATTTTAGTTTCAGGTTCAAGGGCTTCAAAACAGCTTTGAAGTTTTTTTCAATTAAAACAAAAGCAATTTGAACTAGTTCCATGGTTTCAGCATCAGTCTCACACTGACACCAAATTCAGGGTGATACATCTCTGATTTCGTATTTCAGCATGTGAGAGGAAAAAATTAAATGAGTTTCCAGTTTCCCCAAAAGAAGAGTGTTGATAAGTTACAATTTCTGAAAGACCTGTTATTTGAAAAAAAAAAAAAAAAAAAAAAAAAAGTGACACCTCTTTTTTATGGCAGGCTAAGTTGAAATCTTTCTTTTGCACATAAATCCTCATGAAAACCAAGATATGGCTAGCAAGGATTTTTTTACAGAAGTACCATGCCACATTCCTTTCTGGACTGGTCATATTTCATATAGGATTTATATTTACCTGGGCTAAAGGCTTTGAGCTGGGATCCAGCTTACTTCTATGAATATCAAATTCTGCACGTTTATGCCAAAACCTCCATGCATCTAAAAGATTCCTGTAGTTCTCAATCCAGTACTGAACCCTTTCATCCTTGAGTACATCTGATGGGGAACCCTAAAGCACGCAGGAAAAAATGTTAGACATACATTAAAGACACACAATACATATGACTCACTTTTTCAAAAGCCTTTACAAAGTGTACTACAAGATATAAGAAATAATACAGTGTCATTTATCCCAAAAATCATGAATTTTCTGTGAAATTGTAATGTGAGTTTGATAAATGCTTTCTTCAGTTTCTGTCTGGTTGAAAATACTTGTGCTGCCATGTCCTCCTAAGAACTCCTGTCTGTGAGATGAAGGATTTGAAAGTTCTGCCATGTATCACAATCTGTGTCACTGTCATGACTGCATATGCAGTTAAATACACCGCTGGCAATAGCTGCTACTGTGTAAGGGCCAAGGTAAATCCTTTATTTTAAAAAAAACCAAACTCAAAGCCTACAAACAAACAAAAATCTTGATTTTGTTCTCTACCAAAATCCTGAAAGCAAAAAAAAAAAAATGAAAATGTCAGGAAACACACCAGCAATAATTAGATAAATGTTCAGTTCAGCTAGTGAAAAGGACTACGATTTTCTTTTGCCTCTTTCCCCTACTATCTCCTCAGGCTACCTCAAGCACAGAGTGTGAAGACACATACTTACCAGTTAACACTGAGTTTCAGATGACCCCACAAAAATAACCAAACAACCGACTGTCCCAGTTTAATACAGAAAGCGCTTTTTACTTCACAAGATTCAACACTACTCTCACAAAGAAACATTTCGTTTTCCTCCATAAAATTTATTTTGGAGTGAAACACTAACCTGTAGCATGCAATAGCTTGCTGTCTGGACATCTCCAGTTCTGTCAACGTAACTTTCCATCAAGTCAACTCCATCTTTTGTCAGCCCTGTTAACAGTATTCCCTCCAAATTCCCAGCCTCTTTCATTTCATTTGTCAGCTTTTCAATAAACCTGTTGAGCTATAAAAAAAAAAAATATATATATATATATGAAGAAATATATGTAAAAACTGCATCTGCAGCTAACAGAATGCATTACTTGCTGGATGTTATGAAGAAAAAGTTCAATTACTATATCATATGACACTGCATGAAATCAAGTGTTTATAAACAAACTTTAGGCTTCCTGATAGAAAATGCAAGGAGAGAGGTTATGTATTCTTAGAATACTTTGGTGAATTTAAAATGGAACATTGCTGCTGCAAGACCAAACCATAATTTGAGAGAACATTAACACCTGGAAATAAATACTGAAGAAATACTCTCCAGTAAAACAGGTGTACAGTTAATGCAACTGCATTTTAACTACCATGTAATGAATACTCACAAAAACCTACAAAACCACAAAACCAATAAAGCCCCCAAATCAACCAACCAAAAACCTAATCAAAAATTAAGCTGGAAGTACAAACTAAAAATCAGATTATAGCACACCTTCTATATAAGGTGTGGTATAGTATTTTCTTAGTGTGGTAAGAAAAACCAAATCACTCATGACTCATTATTTCCACTGTTCACCCCTCTACCCCAGAGTTTCTTCTGCCTCTGAATAAAGCCCGGTTAAAAAGTCTGTTTAAAGGTGCAACCACAAACTTACCTGAGCATCATTGAGGAACTTGCAAGCAAATGCCACTCTGTCTCGTACAGCTACATTATTTTCATACTTCAGAGAGAAAAATGGGAATTACTAACATCAGATACGTTTCCATTTTTCCAACACATCGTAAAAATCAGAACACTTGCACAACTGTCTAACTAATTCAATGGAAATGATTGTGTACTAAGAAAATGTGACATCTGGAGAAGGCTAACTCTAAATATCAGCTTACTTGTTTGTACTTGTTTGTACAGGTATCAGAGGAAGACTGCAGATATGGGAACAATCTACCTGGAAAGTCTGGTACAACACATCGTACATGGTTTATGAAATTCTACAAAAATAAACTTTGCAAGTCCTGTAGAGGACTCAGTGCTTCCAGCATGTAAAGCCAGGTGTCCCACCAAGTCACAGGCAGAAGAAAAACAAACCAAGTTCTGCTTACTGTATTTACATAATAACTAGCCTAACCACTCCATTCCTTCCTTAAATTGCAAACGAAAGTTAACAAAGCAAACAAAACACCCCAAGCAAACAAAAACTAAACATCCAGAATGAATTTCTCAGAAGTATATTAACACTTCAAGTCCAGCAGTGTATCACTATTTACTTTCTGCTTTTTAACCATTTTACTAGATGCGACACTGCAGAAAAAAATACTTCTCTATATCAATTCTCACACTTAGCTATGCCCATAATTTTCCCTCTGATATTCTCAGATTAGAAATTGTGACTGACATTGCCAAAACAAGATGTGTTTGGCAAAATCTTTCATGCAGACTTCAACAGGTCTCACTGAAGGAAAAATTAAAATTAAACCCAAACAAACAGCACCTTATTATGTGTTAGCTGCCAGTTCATCTATAAAAAAATCTGTAAAAGTACTACCCAACATCCAGAGAACAACAATACTCTCTCTCAAAGACAGACAGAATGAAAGAAGAAAAAAAAAAAGACTCATGTTTCTCTCCTCTGGGATTTTAGCTGTTTTTATTTTTCATTACCCTAAGAGCATCAAATTATGACAACTTCACTTTCAACAGCTTTGGGCCAATTACTCTGCTGCATTACAGGAGTCCTCTCCTAGGCTAAATAATTCCTACTGAATCAGGTATTTCTACTGTTCTCTAACCAGGAATCAAGTACATTAACTCCTCCAAAGGCTCAAAGTATCTCATGATTAAAGGTTTAGTTTGCCCTTTAAATGGCATTTCTGTATCACTTTCAGAAGCCCTGGAACTACTCTATTTACTGCTTCAACAAAGTGAAATTATTTTCACAAGTAAGCAAGTGAAAATAGAATACACTTCATTGCAAATGTAGCTTCATGAAAGTTCTGCAAACCCCCCTGCATTTAGTCTGCTGTTTGCAATTCCATTATTAATCTCTCTTCTGTTTCTTTCCACTGCTTAAATTATTTTGATGAAGTATTTCTAGAGGATTAATAACTCCATGCTAAAAATAAAATTCCTCTAAAACGTGTTATCTGTATTTTGGCTGTTCATGCATGACTTATTCACTAACATAACATTCACTAATATGAGATGTCTCTTCTGCAGACGGATATGCTATTTGCCAGCACCAGGATAAAATAATAGGTTTAAATTTGATTAATTCTTGGAGTATATAGGACTCCCCCTACATAAGTGCATGTATCTACAGGCTCCTATTGCATAAAGAAATTTTAACCTAACACAGAAATTTACTCACCAAAACACCATCATATGAACCAGACTCACTCGTCAGGAAAGCAAACATAGCACACAAGTAAGGATTGTTCAACTGCAGTCTTAGAGTACTGCACATTTCTCTCCAAAGTGAGTTCTTCTCATCTGTGTAGCCTGACAGAGCCATTGCTACGACATTAAGGTTCAGATCACCTGATTTATGAAAAGTGAAACAGTATTATTCAAGTTAAGGACTTAAAGAAACCTCCAGTTAAAACTGTAAATGAAAGCGTCCATATGAAACACAGTGTTTTGTCAGGATGCAACATAAAATGGAGTAGAATTAACACTACCTAAATTAATGTGCATACACTACCATGTATAGTAGCTTCTGCTTTAAATGCCTTTGTTCAGGTAAGTTAGCATCTACATGTATGACAGCCTCTTTAAACAACATCACACTACTTGTGGTATTTTGAAACAGCTATCACAAAAGATTGCCATTATCATAATTCATATCCATAAGAAGTGAAAAGACAGGATGGTATATCCAGCCATTGTTTAACAGACCTAGCTGGAGGATGACAATTTTATACAAAAGTTTCAAGCTAAGAAGTTTCCTAAAGACACAAAAACTATTAAATCTAAATATTCATTTTGTCAGAAAGTTCAATTTTGTTCTTGAATTTGAAAATAGCATGTCTCCACTCTGACCCCTCCCTGTGGAAAGCACAGACAGACACTATTTCCCCCAGCAGTTCCATTAAAGTAAAAAGAATCCCACTAGTTCTGAACATAAGTCTTTGTGAGGCTATTATCAGGAAGGAAATTCTGAAACATATGATCTATTTTAAATAGACAGTATTGTATGTGGTAGTCTGATGAGTGAAATACCAGGATTTGTCAAGCTCCAATACAAGTGTTTCAAGTAACAATTTTACAACACAACAGGCATCTCTTCCATAATTCTGTTAACAGAATTTTCCATAATTCTGTTAACAGAAAAAAATCTACTAATGTGATACAGTGCCAAAATAAAAAACTAAACACAATACACACCTTTTCCCGAGGAAGCCCCTTTATTCAGAATTTGTATTGCTCGCCGTATATCCAAGTTGAAAAGTGCTACAGCAGCTGCTCGCTCCCAGTCTCCCTCCTGCTCCAATGAACTTAGGAAAGGTTCCACATCTAAGTCTGTTCCCTTCTTTATCCACCCACAGAGCTGCAAAGCCAAAGATCTCTCCTCACTCAGATATTGAATAATATCTGCCTGTCTATCAGATCCACTCCTGCTGTGCCTGAGGTTCTCTGTTGTTCCTAGAAATGGGAAATAAGTTAAATTATGCTTAAATGACAGTTTCAATTGCAATCACAACACAAGGCATTGATTTCAATCATAAAGCAGGGTACAAAAGCTGAGTATCGCATTTTAGTACTTTGACATGTCTTACAACTCCATGCAAGGAGCAGCATGCAAAAAATTATTTTGATCTACTAAAAATTATGCACCTAAGCTTGACACATATTTCTCAGTCTTTTTTCTTTCTTCTACCACTTGTTACATTTGACAGGACTTCTCAGTATGTTCAAATTGAAAATACATAATACAATGTCAAGCACCTGCTCTACCAGCTCTCAGACAGCATCAATGTGTTAGAAGCTTTCCCACCACTGAAGACTCATTTTCTGCTCCAAGAAGCATAGTTATTAATAAGACACATACTGAAGAGTGAAAGCATTCAAATAATAAATTATACTGAGGAAGATTTCAGTGACTTTGAGAGGCAGTATGTGATGAACCAGGGTTGATCACCACTTCAGAAGAGGTCAACTTATTTAAACACCATCATACAAATGTACTTAATACAACAGCAGTGACAACAGCAAAGTCACCTTTCCAGAACCAAACCCTGATGTGGAGCATTGAAAAATATCATATTCTGCAGGGAATATAATATTATGCTAAAAAGTACAATGTGCAGGGAGCAAGAATTCTTAGTGCCAGAGTCAAAACTCAAATGTTTGAAACAGTTCAAAGATTTACTACTGAGGATACTATGCTTCTACAATTACTGACTTTCCAAGAACATTGAAAACTCTGGAAATTACTGTTAACTTACATTATTAAAACACAAACAGAAATACTTTGTTTTTATATTTTTGAATAGTCTCTTTGAACAATTGCCAAAGACAAACTCATGAGTGCATCATTCTGCAAACATAGTACAACAATACTTAGCAAAGTTGGAACATTCTTACCCAAAGATGACTTCACAATTGATTTAATGCCAGTGTAAACTAAGGGACCTTTGTTTCCTGTAAGTTTTTGATCCATATCTTCAGTATACTGCTTCATAAGTATTTTCATGTATAGGAAGCTTAATTTTTCCCAAAAAATGCTTTTAAAAATTTTAAGTCACATCCTGTTAACATATACAAAGTATTTACAGGATGTTGCATTGTATTTAAATATTTTAATGCATTTTATGTAAGTGGCTTACATATAAAGGTGTATTAATTCCTGAGGACAAAAACTACAATAAAATAAAGGATATAATGCAGAGTGTACCAAAGCGATTTCAGCTGAGGATCTTCATTTCCAGCTAGGAGGTGATTTCTCCAAACTTGTTCAGTATCAAGACCATATCTTGACAGAGCTCTGAGGCGCATTTTGGTTGCTATGTCTTTTTCCAAGGAACTAGCCTTTCCTTCTTCTGTACACTCATACAAATGTCGTCCACAAGCCCACATTAAGGATGTCACTGGACTCCATGCAAGAGAAATTCTTTCAAAAACTGTGAAGTCGGACATAGTCCTGTTGGGAGTCACTACTACCATTCGATTTTGACTTGTGGGATGCCAGGCAAATGAAGCAATGTAATTTTCACATGGTTGGACACTTCTCTCAATTATTGTCGGCTCAGTTTCATCTCCAATGGGGGTGGGAGTATGCTGCATGTCATACAGTCTAATGATGTTACTATCCCTTGTTAAAGTAGCTAACAGTCCAGTCCTTGTTGGACACCATGCAACTTTTGTTAAGGGTTTTGGTTGCTCTGTCAAGGTCAAAACAGGCTTTTCAAACTTTCTTAAATCCCATATGGCAACCTGACCTTCATAGAAGGAAGCAACACGATCGTGGAAATAGGGATCAACAGTCACTCCTTGGACAGCCTTGGTGTTCACAAATATTTTTTGGCTTGTGTTCCTAAGATCAAAGATAGCCAGATTTCGATGCATTCCAGCTAAGAGCAGTTTCTGATCCCGTGGAAGCCAACAGAGAGAGAGACAAGCATCATTCTGTCCTAATTCATACAGTGGTTTTGTAACTACCAGGCCTGCATCCGCATCTCCTGCTGAAAGCCTCACTTTCTCTGCAGCAACTGCAGTCTCTGGGGCATATTTGCTGCTGATATCCCAGATCAGTACGGAAAAGTCAGCCCGATGTTTATCTAGCCCAGCAGCGAGCCAATTGCTATCCAGGGGGTTCCACGCCAGGGTATTGCATTGCCGAGCGTGTTTGGGAACAAACTCTTTGCCTATCAAATCTTTGGATTTTGAGTTGTGATCTTGCCCGAGGCTGGTAAGTACCACTCGGCCATTGGCCTGTCCAACAGCAAGGAGACATTCAGGATCGTACTTGGGATACCAAGCCACACATTTCATGTACGGTGTATCCGAATTTATGGACAGCAGTGTAGCCGTAGTTTCCTCCGACAGCCGCAAGGATCCTGCCTTGAGCTCTGAACTTACAGCAGAGTCAATGTGGTAAAGGCTCAGCTCTGAATCGCACACAACAAACCTGTCCACATGGTGTGGGGCCCACAGGATATCAGGTTTGGAGCCACTCATGGCTAGGGTAAGCTGACACACAATTTAAGGTCTGCTAAGAAGATTCAGGTGACATCCATGCATACAGAAACTGTTGAGAAAATAATTTGTAGGAACGTTATCAAAACCCAAGCCCTTTAACTGAAATCATCATTAAACAAACAAAACCAAATTCCTTTTAGCCCAAGAGTTTATCTCATAACACATTTCAGGCCAAATCATTACGCATTCTCCTCACAACACCTGTTGTTTTTGCTGGTATGTATGCACCAAGACAGAACCAACACGGCCACCTACAAACTGATGACAACAGGATCCGCTGTGTTTACAAACTGCACACCAGTATTAAGCAAGGAGACATTACCCGAGATGCGCTGTGGCAGGATACGTGGGTGTGCCGCTGGGAAAGAGCCACGCCCTCAAACATCTACAAGAGAATTTCCCTGCCTAATTAAAAAGCATTACGTGACAAAAATTAGAGTCTGGCAGTTTTGTCTAAAACCTGCTCCATAGGCTAGAAAGGCTTCCTGCCTTGGAAGATTTCAACAGAAATTCAAATTGGCATTTTATTGTACAGCTCCCAGCCCCACCACCTGCCCCAATGCTACCCTGTCTCGGTTCGTATCTGGTCCAGCAACATTCAAACAGGCACATTACTGTCAAAGCTCCCTTTACGCGTTCGGCAGCTACTAGCACCACACGTGCCCACATGCAAACAGACCCCACAGATCCTACACACCTCTGCTACTACAGAGGAAAAGGACAGGCAAGATCGGCAAGTATGAAAAAACAGCATTATTTACTACACCTGGGCCGCCTCTGTGTGCCTGCAGGTCACCCCTTCCCTCCCGCCCGCCTGCCTCCGAGGGGGCGCAGGGCTCCGGGCCGCAGCCCGTTCCCGGCAGGAGACGCGGAGCGCGGAGGCGGCTGCAAGAGCGGACCGGAGCCGGGAGACCGCCACCCTCCCTCCGTGGGTTCCCGGGCGCGGCAGCCGCTCACCCAGCCCGCGGCACGCTCCAGCCCGGCCGCCGCCAGCGGCCCCGCCGCCCGCGCAGGGGAACGGGAAGCGCACGGCGGCTTCCGGCAGCGGCGGCGGCGCTTCCGGCGCGCCTGGGAAGCGGAAGCACCGCCCGCGCGCGCTTCCGGTCGCGGCCCGCCTCGTCCCTCAGCGGCGCCGAGCGGAGCGGGCCGGGAGCGGGCGGGGATCCTGGGCTGGAGAGAGCCGGGAATGTTCGGGACACACTCCTGGCAATGGGCTCCAGGGTGGCCCTGCTGGAGCAGGGCCGTTGGACCACAGCACCCAGTGCGGCCCCTTTCAACCTGAAGCATTCTGTGACCACAAAGAGCATCTAATCCTGATTCTTTTGGGACTACCTAAAAACAGAGGCCAGACAAAATTAAGAGAATAAAAAGCGGTTATGTTTTTTGAAGGGCCTCCAGGTACATTAAGGGCAGATGAAGCTCCCCCACGGGCTACACCCAAAAATGGACCACGGGCCACAGGTTTTCATACTTTCATAAGTTTGATCCCTTTGCATATTGGGGGTTAATCTTCCAATTACAGCTTCAGGTAATGAAGTCATTACCCAAGTTTGCTCCCCACCCGTCCCATCCCCCTCACTTTTTACGTTTCTTATTGCTCACCCTCTATATGGAGTTTAGAGTTACACACTAAAGAATTGCAGGATTACAAATATATGAAATATATAAAAGCTGAAATTTTAAGGTATCAATTCCAACGCCCCTGCCAAGGACAGCTCCCAGTGTACCACACTGCGCAGAGCCCTGTCCCTCCTGGCTTTAACGCTTCCTGGGAAGGCACATCCCAGCTTCTCTGGGCAGCCTGTGCCGCTGCCTCGCCACCCTCGCAGCAAAGAATCTCTCCCTCGTATCCAGTCTCACTCTGCCCCCTCTTTCTGGGACCTACAAACAGCCAAAGCACGGGGGTTGGGAGCTACATACCATCTCTGGGCAACTTTTCCCATTATTTGATGACACAATCATAAAGTTTTCTTACAGTCTAAATTACCTGGGGGGAAAAAAATAATAAAAAAAAGCTTATTTCCTCACTTCTATGTGATTAGGATTTTACGACCTGTTTTTCTGCAAGCCATGGAGATGCGAACTGTTACTTTTTTCCTTTTGTTTGTAATGCTCTTTAAAATTGTCTGTAATAAAAGTTATAAACTGAAGTACTAATTGGACAATTTCAGATTCTCTCAGAGTATCTTCCTTCATATAGAAACAATGGTATTTGGCCTGGAAATATTTAAACATCACATTTTAAAAGTTTTCTACAGCACTATCAGAGTCAGGACATTAGCTCCTTACTTTAGCTGCTTTTATTACTTCCTTTTTTAAAAAAGAAAGGAAATGAATATACTTTGGCTTCCTCATTAAATATTTTCATACTTTATTTTTTTAATTATAGCATATAATTTTAATGGCCTCTCCAATGTTTTTATAACTTAGCAAAACATTTTTAAGAAAATGTATGATAAGTCATTATTCATCCATCTTTTCAATAATCTGCATGTATTCAGTGCCTTTAGCTTTAAAATGTGTATGGAGTGGCTTTTTACATCATTTGTGTTAATGTCTGTTGTCTTTTTTTCTTTACTCTAAGCATAGTGGAGAATTTGTTTAACAAACTGCATTTTATGTGTTAATTGTTCACAGAGTTCATTAATTTAAGCCATAAATGTCATTTGGTGCTGCAACAACTAGTTGGTTTAGATTTTGTTGTAATATTCCTTTTCTTCATAAAACCAGCTGTTTTTTTTTTTCCTTAATAACAGAAATCTTTAAGAGCTCAGCAGTTGTTTTGATAAATAAAATAGACCAACGCATGTGGAAAAATACAAAAGTAATTTAGATTAAGTAGTCTATCATATGTCTAAGGCAAAATTGTTAGACTGGATTTTCATGCTTATCTGTTTCTTTTTCATCATTCCATTTCCTCTGCTGCTGTTGAAGTGGAACATAGTGACTTTTTCACGTCTGTTTCCAAGAATCACCAAGATTTCCAGGAATCACTGGTGGCTCTTTTTGTAACAAAGATGAACTTCAGTTTGTGTGTTCATAACACTTTTCCATGGGAAAGTATGGGAGTTCAGTTTATAAATGTAGGTAGCACTTGCAATAATCACATCATCTACCTTTGATTCTAAGGGTAAGTTTTTCAGGTCCTAGGGAATCAGCAGCTTAACTATCTGACATCTTGCTCATTTCTTGAGTCCTAATGATGGTCCAAATAAACTGCTAACAAATGCACAAGCTGCAGAAGAGCTGTTTCCTGTGTCTTTGGCACAAGAGAGATTCAGAGAGGTTGAAAATGAAAGATGATACTTTGAAGCAATAGATGCTGTTACCACAATGGCAGGTAGAAAGTAAGTTAAGAGAAACATAAGAGCTATTTGGTGTTTCAGAATGCAAAAGAATGTTACCACCCTAGGCACCACTGTGTCACGGTTACTAGAACTGTTACATGAACTGTTGGGACATAGATATTTTATATTTGATCATTCCATCACATGCAGAATTTATGTTTCCTGTGTTGATCTCAAAATAAATACTGCAGCAGTATTTCATTAGTGAGGTTGTGAATTCCTCTAATGTTTCTGAACCTTTTAAACTCTTGGATCTTTGCTTCTGTTTTCCATGCCCTGATTTACCCTTTTAGTTTGCATCTAGCTGCCTCCACATTTGCATCTTTGTCCAACAGCAGCATCTTTATTTGTAAATAATGCAGAATATTTGTTTCATTTTGAGGTTGTACCTAGGTGATTATTAATCTCATCATTATATTGCATAACAAGTGATTTTTATATTTAGTTTTTTTCTTGTAATTGATATAGTTAAATAAACTTATACATTTAAACTCCCAAATCATTAAGGACCTAATTCAGCTTAACTTTCATCAGGTCTGATTTTATTCCTACATTTTTTGGCCTCTCAAATATTGCCTGCACTTATGATCAGTCCCTGTTATATTCCTTGAAAGATCTGCTTATTTCTAATGTGAATTTATCCGTAACAACTGCTTTCATGCCCTTGTATCTTAAACTATTTTCAGCAATTTCTCTTCATGGATGATGTACATTTTTTTTTTCTTTGCTCTGACTGCAGAGTATTCCAAGTTTGCTCTATGTACAAATCTCTGAGTTCTTTAAGAATTTTTAATCATGTGGAGACTTCGTACAGTGAAAGCTCCATTTTGAACTTATCTTATTCTTTAAAGATACATTAAAATTTGTAAGAGATCAAGGTGTACCAAGGCTAGTTCATATTTTTTTAGTTCATATTAGTTCATATTAACTGGATCTTTTGTTCTTCCTACAACTTTGTTATGCATTTCCATATGTGATTCCTGGAAGGCTGGCTTTTTCTTTAGTTTATGTTAATCTTTGAGATTTGTTGTATTTGTGTCACATCTGGCCAAAATAACGAAATCATTTCAGGAATACAGAAACACCTAAGTACTGCTGGAGTTTTGTATATTTCAATGCAATGTTAACACTGGGATTAAAGACATGTCAATTGTTAATTTAGTTATCTAAGTCTACTGCTGCTCTTCCCTTTACAGAAAAAGTATATATTCTGTCATTGCTATTTTTATCATTACTATTGGTTTGGGTTATCATTACTTAAACTTGCAGAAGCTTGATGGAGCCTAGGAGACTGTTTCAGATATAGTGTTGTACTTCTCCATGCCATGATGTATTGCTCCATGCCTGGTAGTATTGCTTTATCTGATTTTTGGTAAAAGAAGAAAGTATTCATTACATAGGGAGTTTGAAGCTGGAGTTCAAATCTCTCAGTCTATGTAAAATGTATGTACCTGTATAAAGATTCCAAATTATACAGATTCAGCAGCGTGATTGCCAAAGTTGTAGGCACAAGTTGCAAGACTCTTTCCTCCAGGCTTTCTACTGAAAATTCTTTTGTTTGCACAGATCATACTTTTTTATTTGTATATGTTGGGATTATCACTTAATTTTATACAATTTCATGTTAAAAACATAATGCAAGTTCCTGTATTCAAATGCCATATATTTTCAGGGTGAAAAAGGTTCAGAGGATCCAGTAGGTCCGGTTGGCACACCAGTCTTTCACCTTAGTCATTCATTAATTGAGGCATTCAAAACAAAAAGCCTTTTAAGTGAGGAAGGTGACTCTGATGGTAGAATGGCCTTTGTCAACTGCACAGGTTGGATAAGAGTGCAAAAACTCTCGGCTTCACTTACTCCATTAATGTTACTGGTGGTTGCTGTACTTGTTATTCAGTGGGATGTATAGAAATGTGAGCAAGAGGAATTGAAATAAATACAGCAAGAATTGCACAGGTACATTTGTTTTCTTTTGAAGATAACTACTGCATTTTATTAATTGAAAAACTGATCTGTGGAAGTTTAGAAATGAATGTCCTATCTAATCTTTTTAGAGTATCCAGGCTCCTGAAAGAATACCTGGACTAAAGGGATCACAAAGTTTGTGTGTTCAAAGTCCTAAGGTAACCTGTGAAAAAAATCCTGATTTTAGAAGGATAGAGCGAGGGATATATGTGACAGAGGACAAAGCTTTTTATATATGAGAGCTCTTAATTATCTAGGAAAACTCATGAAATAAAATTAACTCTTCTGTTTTGATCACTGTAGGCTGTTAGAGAGAGAACTCAGCTTGAGCGTTATCATATGTTATGATAAGCAGAAACATAGAGGATTTACAAAGCGTTGTTTAAAGAATTTGAAAATTATATATGCTGGTTTTTAACAATATTCCACATTGCTGAGCTTGACCAAAGCCCTTATTCAAACCAACAATTTTTTGTAGCCACAAAATGGCTACACAATGGACGCTGGAATGGCAACTCATTTGGCCATCTTTGCTTTAGCTGTTAGTGAAGTAAAACATTTACACAGATAATTCTAAATTGGATTTTTTTATGTTTTTGGTGTTGTGGTTTTTGTGGTTTTAGGTTTGGTTTGGGTTTTTTTTTTTTTTCTTTTGTGGGCACTGGGGGGTATGTGTTCGTCTTTTTTTTAAGGAAAACAAAGTAAGCCTGGTCCAAATGGAA